ATCACGTGACAAGCATGACGCGTCGCCATGGAAACAGTAAGGGGAAACGTTCTAAAATAACGGTCGCCTTAAAAAAATCACTCTGGGGGGACCGCTAGAATATTTTAAACTCACCACTGTTTCGTCGTCTAGACCAGTGTTTCCCAACCGGGGTATATTGTGACAAAATTAATTTTGTAGGGTGCCACAAATTTGTTAAAATTTCCAAAGGGTGTCGCGACTAAAAAAAGTTTGGGAAACACTGGTCTAGACTGTCATAACCGAACGCTACGCGCAGTTTAAATGCTGAATGGAGGATGACTGATAGCCGCAGCGGAGAGAAGAGTTTACTGGAACTTGAATTTAACGACTTAAATATTCATCTGTACCTCACATTAAACTGTGGATCGGTCTCAGAACACTTGAAATATAGTGCACGGAAACTTTATGGTGCTTTATAATGTTTTTGTGCCTTTCGTGGGGCTTAACAATAACACCGAATAGTATACGCACAATATCGGATTTGGATCTGTCTTGTCTGACCGATACAGCAGAAAGTGGCAGTATCGGAGCGATACCGATACTGTATATCGGATCGGCGCACCCCTAGTTCTATAGCCTGCGTGTCGAACCGGTTTCCTCCTGTGTTCTCACCTCACACGGGTAGTGGCACTGAGAGGCCCGGTTCAGAGTCGGCTTGTGCCTAATTCTCCAGAGAGTTCCCTGACTGGGCAAACCCTGTCGAGTCTTCCAGCACTCTGGCGGCCAGACGTGGCTGAGCGTCCGGCGACAGGCCTTTCAGCCAATGAATTCCTGAAATCTGGTGCGAGGCTAGTGCCCATATGAGTGAACCTGTTGGGATCGCATATGTGTATTTCCACGGTACAGTTACTAGGGCCGTGTTTCCCCTGGCAGACCATGTTCTGCCGTCTCTAAATGATGCAGCCTGGGCCATCTCAGAGACTTCCATGTGCAGTAGGGCCCTACGGGGTTACTCCACGTGAGTAAATGTCACTTAACCCCCTCTGGGAGGAGATGACTCCACAGCATGCCCTTTCCAAATGGATAGGGCACACTTTCCCAGTGTTTTCCAAGTCCTACTGTTGGGTTGCGAGGAACAGCAGTGGTCGACCTTCTCTGTGTAGAGCCCGGTCCTGTCATCTGCCTTATAGGAAGGGTCAGGGGCCTACACAGGGCACTGGAGGGGGCAGCACCTGTAGCATGTTGGTAGGGATCCCAATTCGTAGGTCATCACCGACGTGACGTCGAGAGTGACCGACTGAAAGGGAACGTCTCGTTACATATGTAACCCTTGTTCCCTGAAGGAGGGAACGGAGACATCACGTCCCGTCACCACAGTTGCTGTACCACCGCTGAGCTGCCGGGTCACCGGCTCGGCTCCTCAGCGAAAACATGAATTAATGCGGTGCACCTGCTGCCTCTTATACCCGCGCTGCGGGGGTGTGGCAGTCAGATGTGAAATCCGCATGCCAATGTCCATTGGCTTGTTTAGTTACACTCTGGCGAGATCCCAATTCGTCGGTCATCACCGATGTGACGTCTCCGTTCCCTCCTTCAGGAAACGGGGGTTACATACGTAACCGAGACGTTTTGGCTGTACCACACCAGTTTTGTTGTGTCAGGCAAATAATACTCTATACTGAAAAAGTAGAATAATGATAACTTTTGTATATATTTAAATTTTTATATTTTTAATTAAAGTGATTACATTTTGTTGTTTATTTTAATTTATATAGAAGTATTTTTTAATTAAATATTATATTTTATATGCATTATGTTATTTTAATAATATTTCAACATTTCTCATTACAATATCCAGCATACCATATTATTTTACTGTATCACAACAGTTATTTTTGTCAGGCAAATGATGCTCAATGCTAAAAAAACAATAGAATAATTTTTCTTTAAATTATATGCTTAGTTTTTATTAAAATTGCTTTTTAGATGCATGTTGTTATTTTATTAATATTTAATATGAATATTTAATATGTCTGTACACAAATACATTACAGTAGACAAAGAAAATGTGCTGTGCTGCATATATTTACAAGCACTGCTGAAAGTAGCAATCTACATTTTCACAACTAAAAATTGTTTTTAAAGATCCCATGAATCGGTAAGGGTATCATGCCAATGTAACAACCGTATTTGTTTTTTTTAAGCCATTAATTATGCATAATTCCAATTTCTTTGTCTTCGTCTGCAGAATGTGCCACCTGATCTGGCAATCTGTGCCTTTGTACTGGAGCAGTCGCTCTCAGTACGAGCCCTGCAGGAGATGCTGGCCAACACCATGGAGATGAACGAGGTGAGAGTCTCCATGAAGGAGAGAGAGAGAAGGGTGGAGAGCAGGGAGCAATTCTAAAAGCAGAGGGTCAAAAAGAAAAGGAATGGTGAACAAAGTTTTGGGATAATTGAAAAGATCTAAATGTTACGTTCTTTTACAATTTACATATACATACAGTATGATGTAGCCTGTAGTGTTAAAGGGGTCATATGACGATGCTAAAAAATAACATTATTTTGTGTATTTGGTGTAATGAAATGTGTTTATGCGGTTTAAGGTTCAAAAAACATATTATTTTCCACATACTGTACATTATTGTTTCTCCTCTATGCCCCGCCTTTCTGAAACACGTCGATTTTTACAAAGCTCATCGTTCTGAAAAGCAAAGTGTGCTCTGATTGGCCAGCAATCCAGTGCGTTGTGATTGGCCGAATACCTCAAGCGTGTGACGGAAATGTTACGCCCCTTACTATACTGTGATGCCCTGTCCCGGTGCGACGAGACAAAAAGGGGCCAAAATTGTACCTTTTGGGGTACAACAGCTTGACACTGTAGCAGTACTCTTAAACGGACATATTTGTAACTTTTTTACCCCTAATAGGTACATATTAGTACCTTAGAGTAGTAATTCGTACCCTTAAGGTACTAGTTTGTAGGCCTACCTATTCGGGGTAAAAAAGGAATAAATATGCCCTTTTAAGTGTACTGCTACAGTGGCAAGCTGTTGTACCCCAAAAGGTACAATTTTGGGCCCTTTTTTTTCTGTATATAGCCTATGCATCCACAACAATTTCTGAAACCACAGAAAACCCTCATATTTGTATGGCCATCACATAAAAAGGTCTAAACCCTTAGTCTAAGGCCATGGAAAATAATTAAAGGTTCTCTCTTGCACTGCACCTCCACTTCCCTTTCCCTTTTCTTCATTTTCCCCAATATCTCGGTCTCTCTCTTTTTTTTCTTACCTGTCACTTCTTCACCAGCAGGTCTAATGTTATGAACAGAACTGTGTCCACCTTGTTGAAAACAACCACCTCATTTCCAGGGCCACATTAAGACCGCACTGGGCCCCGGGGCTATGACTTACTGCAGGGCCCCCCATCACAATAATTATATATATATATATATATATATACAACGGGGCTAAAGGCCCACCTTAAGAAAAAATTTGCCATTCACTGCACTTGAAATCTATAATTGCAGAAAAAATATATACGTTGTATTGAACATTAATGGAGCAACAGATTTTGTGTGAAAATAAATAATATTTTGTTTAAAAATCGTATAAATGTATGAGGTGGCGAGAGGGGCCTTTTACCCCACACACGGGGTAAAAGGCTCACCAGCATGGGGTAAAAGGCACACGGTATTTATACAAATACTTCAGCTAAAATAATGTTTTTTTTTTAA